AAAACCCATTTGAGTGGAATGATTATAATAACATCTGTACTGCAGGGTAACGTGGTCTCTGTCTGTAAACCTTTCAGATCTATGAGGACTCCATTGTGCTGCAGTCTGTCTTCACCAGCGTGAGACAGAAGATCGAGAAGGACGAGGAGAGCGAAGGAGAGGAGAGTGAAGAAGAGGAGGAGGATAGGCAGAATAAACATTGTTTCCGCGTATATAGAAGAGGGCTACGCCGAATACAGTGTTGTACCAACAGTGAAGAATTTATTAAACTGTAGTGTAAAATCAGCACAGCAGTGCGTTTGAAGGACGTGCGAGGCTCATGAAGTTAAATGCCACGCAAGCTAGTTCTTCCTGATACCAAAGTAGGCATTGAGAAAACACTGCTGTATAGTTGTGCTTGTTCGAATCAGAATGTGAGATAGAATCTTTTTTTAAAGAACAAAAATTAAATTAGTTGAGCTACTGCGAAAAATATTCCCATATACTCCATGGCACTGCCTAGCCAGTGGGCGCCGCGGGTATTAGCAGACGCAGACACCTGGAACTGCGACACAGCAGCCCTAGGGTGAGGCCTGACTTCGTTCATCGTGGTAAGTCTTCTTTTTGTATCTTAGTTTCCAGACAGCGCTTCCTCAGAGGGTTGCTCGTTGACCCTGAGCACGACATCACGATCCTCCTTCGCCAGCCACGTGAGTTTTGCTGGAGGTACTGAGGGGCCACACTGCCCCCAACACCTGAACAAACACGAGGGGTTATATCGTGCCCATGAATCTGCTGTGTGGGATGATTTGCTATGCTGTTGGCTGCATTTGTAGTGTTTGAACGTGCAAGCACCAGCCGATGATTCTCCCCAGCAGGAACTCATTTTCCTGTGGTTTAAATGTGTGTTGCGTGTCAGTCGGGGGGTCGTGCTCGGTCTTGGGGCTGTCGCACTGTATAGCTCAGATCCTTGGCTCGTGTCTTCTAGGTATTTCTTGAGAGTCTCTGTTGTCAGTTATTTCAAGCTAAGAACCATTCCAGGAGGAGACCTCTTAGTCGTACAGGAGATCTGGACAGTAAATTGCGCCACTGTCCTGTCTGCAAAGATAAGGACGCCCTTTTATCCGCCTTGTTCAGACGACAGTGTCGTGTATCTTCTTTTATGCAAGGGTCAAATGTAACGTGCTTCCAGCAAACAGCGGAACGCGAGCGGGCGCGCTGGTCAGGAGCCCAGACCATGATGATAGCAGGACAGTCCAGATAATGTATCCCCTGGCTGGCAGGAGGGTGAACTCTACAGGAGGAGCCAGGGGAACTGGCTCCGTCGCCTGGATCTTGTTGCTGGGAGAGGTCGTCGGAACATTCGTGGGTCGTTTCGTTACAGAGATTAGGCTCTTCGCGGTGATGGTATGACTTCAGGCAAGGTGGGCTTCGATGCACTTCATTACAAGGACAGGGATACCAGCATGCATGCTATTCTTGCCATCACGCATCGAATCGTCAGTGGTCACTTTAGATTTAA